CTGCATTGGCTAGTCCATGGCGCGCGATTAACTGGTGAGCGTTGATTGTATTTGAACTTGACGAAGGTTAGTGAACTGTTCGACATTCACTGACCCGACCACCGGATGATTTTGCTATGTTTCAGTGACATTTCACTGGCCCAACAATGGTATTCTGAACTTGGCGGCGTCACCAAGTTTGTTGAGATCTACCTGAAACAAATCTTTTGTTTCTTGAACCATGAGTTTAGTGTTACGCCAGCCAAACCACCAAAACGAAATTCATGGATAGAATCGGTGACAGGATCAGTATGTGAGTTATGTGAATCATCAGTAAGCCCTCCGTGATTAAGGTTCATTTGTTATTATTATTATTATTATTATTATTATTCACAAACATCTTATGGGTACATAAGTGTTGTGAAGAAACCATTTCGGGTTTCTTCAGAAAATGCAATAATACACAATTTTCAATAATGTTAGCATTATACTTGCCATATTTAAAAAATAAAATAAAATATTTAAAAAAAAATTTAGAATAATAATAGTAGAATATTAATAATAATAAATCGGGTATGTGTAATTGAGAAGAATATTGAATTGAGTTTAAAGAAGGAAATGGAGAAAATAAGGGAATAGAAATAAAGGAGACGTGAAATAAGCAAACAGTGTAATAGGCGTGTTTATAAACACAGAACAAGAATAAACGACTACGTGTGTATCGTTAAATTAGTAACAAAAAATAATTTATCATTGTAGTAAGATATGACGCTAGAATAAATGTTTGTGCAGTTATAGTTTAGTGTGATGCTATGAAAGTCACAATTAAGTGAAAAGGATAATAAAATATCACTCTGTATGAGTCATATATGTTGAGTTAGGTTTTCCAGGATACGAACTCAGAACTGTTCATATTGTTTGTCCCGACATTCAAACAAAGGTTCTGTCTATTCAAGAGTGATTGCATTGTCCCCCACTTGATTACAGCAGACTGCGATGTACAACTGATGGCAATCGAACACGTGGAACCTCGCAAATCAAAAGACGGAAGAAGTAGGGGAAGTGATCAATTGTTAATAGTCAAGGTGGTACTTATGATCATTAGCGTTAGCTACAATATGATTATGATCCTGCTAATCTACAAGAAGGAATGTAATGTTTTCATCCAAGCGTAGCATGCCGAGTTGATATTCTATAAGGCTTAGTCATGTTCTGATTGATTGGAGTCTCTTTGGCCCCCCTAGAGCCTCAAGAGGGTTTGCCGTGCCTATCGAAGCTGTTCTAACAGTTTCAAAGAAGAAAGATCACGGCCATCTGTGTATAACCAGGTATATTCGACATCTACTAAAAGGAGGAAAGGAATTTTGGAACGTCGTCATCAGCCTTGAAAAAGCAGGTAGGATAAAACGCTGCAGGTCAGTGCTCAATAAATGTGCTAGTACAATTCGGGCAGCTCACAAAACATATGAAAAACAGTTAACTCAATCTGTCATCAAGTAGCTCAACAGACTGCTTTCGTGCACAAATTACAGAAGAACGCACTATTGGATTCCCAGTCCAGTTACGGAAAGGAGTGCATCATAAATGACAAAGAAAGATGAGGACAAAACAGGGGCCATGCCAAACGATTTTGAAACAGTTTTCACTCAAGAATACACCTGAAAACAATGTCACAAAATTATCTGCTTACCGTGGGCTCTGACCAAGACCACATTTCAAGACTTCTTAGCACTTTTAACACGGAAAATTCAACATGACCGAATGAACCACACCATAAATTTATGGGACAAACTGCTCAACATAATGTCGCCCCACTGACTAGGATACTTAATATGTTGCTTGGCGAAGGTTAGTTACCTACGAACTGGAGGGGTGAAATTGTTACTCTAAAACATAAAACAGGATCAAGACAACTTCTATCAAAATACAGACCTGTCAGTATTGTTGAATTACGGTCTACTATGGTATAAGTACTGCTCTAATAATAGACGTAATCCTAAAATTGTACATTTCACATGATACAACTACCTAATCTATACGATCTTACGTGGGAGTCACGTTATTATCTACACCAACTCACTGCTTCGTAAAAATCATCAATATGTGATGGATAATACACTTAGGCTAGAAACAGAACAATATACTTAATATGAATAAAAGGTATATAACAACATTCAATGATAGCCACGCCTGCAGGGTCAAGCCATGCCATCCGACCAATTCGAACTCACGCTATTCATTGTTACCGCCTTCTCTATTGCTGGGTTTTCCTCCGCATTCAATGTTGAATATCTATTTTCCCAACTGTCCCGTGTTCAGCATTGAGGATTGTGTAGTTAGGGCTCAATGCCACTACAACCCCACCAGTGTTCTATTTGATGTGACTGCGACTGATGGGAAATGAATGACGTGGAAGCATTGAAGAGAAAGGTAGATAGCCAAAAGTAACATGCGTTTAGTTGGAAAGTTCATGGTGGATTCGAATTCTGCGTGTAAGATTATTCTGTCAAAGTCCCAAAGCAAGACAATATTTAACCCTATCGTAGTTGGGAGAATTTCGGCCTCATCAAACATTGCCATGAGTCATTCGCTCAACTCCCATGACTTTGTTACAATGAAAACTAATTGTAAGATGCCAGTAGTTAATAGGCAAGATCTGACACCACGGTTGAAAGCCATGAACATGACTTAAAATGAAGTTAAACCCCTTCCTAGTTTAATTATTTGGAACCTAGAGGAGTCAAAGGACAATGACTTTGCTAAAAGACATGCACGCGATCTAAAGTTTGTGGAATCTATGATCAGAAATGTAATACCTGAAGAGGTTTCATAGGTACATATCACGAAAGTAATGCTACTCGGTGAATGGGTTGGAGGTAAGTCCCAACCAAGAAGGATTTCGAAGTTGGTTCACAGGAATTTTGAAGAAAGAGATATAATATTGAATAACGCACGAAAAACTCGTGATTCGAATATTCATATCCAACAAGATTGGTCGCTTGAGGATCGAATCAAGTGGAAGAGTGCTCTTACGGAGTTAAGAACTCGAAATTTAAGTAGTGAAACTAACCTTACTATTAAGGGTTTTCGGGTAGTCAGATCTTGGAAGTCAATGCTTCAGAGGTATGTGTGGGTAGGACGAATGATTCCCAAAACACCTCAAATGTGTGCTACACGAACGCCCGTAGCCTTAGAAATAAAACGTCAGAGCTAAATCTGATGGTGGATGAATTAAGTCCCGATATATTTGTTGTTGCAGGATCTTGGTTCATCGTAGATATAAAATGTTCTCCCATCATTGCAGGCTATATCTGTATTATAAATGTTAGAGGTTTACCTCGCAACGGGGAGGCGTAATGTTATACGTTAGGGATCACTTTCGTATATAATCAAGCATATAGGAGACGCATGTTAATGGTACATGTGAGGTTGCACGTTGTAAAATTAAATCTAGAAATTGGTCGGTGACTGTAGGAGTGATATATCGTAGTCCGTGTTGTCTCGCCGACGACTTTATCTTGAGACACAACTGTTCTTGTACTAAGGCAAAATGTTGTCTCATCACTGGGGACTTCAGCACACCGCATATCAAATGGATAGAGCTTACAGCTCCAAGTGGAGGTTTCGATAGCGACCTTCTATCAACTGTTATTCAGACTGCACTTGTACAATGTATCGCGAGACCGACACATATTGACTTGAAACATGATCCGTCACTGCTGGAGCTTGTCCTCACCCACTACTGTGAGGATATCTTTGATATTCAGCAACTTCCCTCACTAGCGAACAGTGATCATGTTGTACTTTACTTTAGGTTTACGACACATGGTATACAATTTATATCTGCTCCACCCCGTCTCAATATCTGGCGAGCTAATATTCCGGCAATCAGGGACTGTGCTATCTCGACCGATTGGTCGGTCGACGCGGATGGATCGACAGAAGACGAATGGGATAAGTTTAAGGCCACATTCGAGTCCCTAACACCACTATTTATCCCATGGCCAGCACATAAGCTATCACACTGCCCTCCATGGATTAATAAGGAAACCTGGAAACCTTTAAAGTGTGGGAAACACTTATGGGACTTATTCCTGTCGACGGGACATGAATCATTTAAGTGTGAATATAAAAAATACAGAATATATGTAAAAAAAGCCGTAGGTAAATACTGAACGTTTTATGAAATACAGTGGCATATGATAGCTGTACTTGTCCGAAACGATTGTTTTTGTATGTTAAAAGGCGAATAAAACGTATTGATGGTATTCCCTCGTTACCGTTGCACAAAATTCAGCTTTACTAGCCGAATCAGGTTTGGCAAGAGCTGAGACCTTTTCACACTGTTTTGGCTAAGTTTACTCTATGTGTATGGTTCTAAACACTTGTCCCAATCAAACCGAGATACCAGCCATAGGATCTATACACGTGACTGAGGGAACTCTTTTATATCCACAAGCTGCAATCTAATTAACTTAAAGTGGGGTTCCGTTTTTCTCATCGAGTGGTCGGTGACTGAAAAGCCTCACCCGAACAAGTGGTATCAGCTCTATCTGTGAATCTTTCAAGGATAAGCTGGACTTTCACCAGGAGGCAATCTACCCGGATTAACACATGTTCACTAACCTACTATCCTTATTACTGAAGACTAAAGAAGCTAGACCTCTTTACTCTGTCCTGCCTGTCTGATTTTGGACTTGATATATCCTCTCTTTTTTTCTAACAGATCAGGACAACTCAGTGGACATACCAGGCAAGTACAAAAGCCAAGAACGAATAAAATACTCGTGACATACAGGTTTTCACGAGTCAACAATTCCTGGAACCTGTCACCCGAAGAAATCGTGTCCGCCCTTTCAACTAACTCATTCACGAGAAGACTAGACATTCAGAAGTTTACTAGGTTACGACTAAAACAGGCCATGTGCCTTTCGTCCTCAATACACAAAGCTGGACCTGAATCTGATGAACCAATCGTTTTCCGTCAGTTTGACCTTCAGATGCTCGCAACCCCCACCACCATATCGTTGCGAAGAGGTAAGGTGTTTCCGTGCTTCTCATACATTATTGGGATACTTGTTATAATAACTAGAAATTGTTTGTGGAGTAAATTTATACAAACCAACTTTTATTTCGATGGCATATACACCTGCCAACACTATGTATCAACCGATCATACGAAAAATCGAGAACTACGACACTATCAGCGAGCTCATTTGTCAAAGAATGCATAGTGGGATCTGGTTTGTATATAGAAATAAGTTGATTTTAAATTCTTAGCTGTTCATGATTTAAAAATATAACTATAGCTAAAGTTTCAGATAAGCATGTTGTCTAAATTAACTTAAGTTACTTGATTCCAAGCTCATCGATAGCAAAAAATATAATTGAGACGGGGCACAAAATTAGTATTAATACAGCATTTAGAATGTTGTACAGAAATTTTCAAGGTCGAATTCTTAAGTTTATTGAAGTCTTGGCTATTCGTAAATTTAAACCCCCCTTATGTGTACAAAAACAATTTGTCGTAACCTTGAATTTACCTTGGTAATCCTTAAGTCATTCTATGGCCTAAGATAACGCGACAATTTATTATTCTTTCTTTCCCCTTAGTTGTTTTAATTGTACTTTTATTTGTTTGAGCTTTATTAATTTTCATATAAAAATGCCCTGACAAATATATGTGTGACCAGATTGTTCGAAACGTATAGCGCTAATACATCACATTTTTCAGATCAACTCCGTCTTCTCATTGTTCTATCGAAATGATAGGTTTTCTTGACATAAAACCAGCATTTGACTCTGTTGACTGAGAGGTTCTGTGGCAGTGCCTGTCATTGAAAGGCATGCCTCAGAAGTACATAAACCTTTTGAGGGCTCTTAACTCAGACACCACTAGTCGAATCTGAGCTTATGGCGAACTGTCATCTGATTTTGCAATCTCGAGTAGTGTCCGGCAAAGCTGTCCATTATCTCCATTTTTGTTCAGTTTCATCATTGAAATACTGCTGGCGATAACATTTCTGTCGTCTGAATTTTCAGTAATTGATATCCTACCAGGTGGTCTACTTATCGACTTATAATATGCAGATGATGTAGTCTTGTTTGGTGAAGATGTTGATAAAATGCGGTCTTTTGGTAGCATTGAGCAACAATGCTGGAATGTTTGGGATGCATCTAAATGAAAATTGTTGCTTCAGAACTGGCCTGCATCAACACTTGAACTAAGGATAGGGAGTGAAGCAGTCAAACGCGTTTACAACTTCACTTATCTTGGAAGTTCTATGAGACCTAGTGGATTGGTGTCTGACGAAATGTGTGCACGATTCAGAAAGCTCGTTTGGTTTTCGTCAACTTATGCCACCTATGGCGAAGGGGAGATATCCGTCTATCAATTAAAGGACGAGCATACTGCTCAGTAGTTCGTCCTATTCTATTTTACAGCTGCGGAACGCGGCTTTTAAAGGTAGAGGATACTCGTAAGGTACTATTATTTGACCACAGATGTCTTGGAAATATTGCTCGCATTTAATGGGATCACTGGGTAATAGTGAGGTCAGATTCAGGGTATTGGGGAGTGATGGTTAGTCATTTGGTGAGGTTGTGAATCCTCATCGACTGAGATGGACGGGCCACGTGTTACGGATGCCTGAACACCGATTACTACGACGTGCAATGCTGACTAGTGTTGGGGATGGTTGGAAGAAAGTTAGGGTCGGCCAAACAAAAACGTGGCATCAATGCTTGAAGTCACTAACTTGTATTCTGAGCCATGTTGGTAGATGCAAACTACTTGGTTGTGGTCCGTGTGACTGTCGTATCGAATGGTAGGAGACTGTGAGTGACATGGCTGAGAATTGTTCACAATGGTAGAGGTGTGTACATCCTTTGTCTTTTCTTAAACCATGAAACTAAAATCGCTTCATATCTTTCTTCCTGTATTATATCCTTATACAATCTTTCTTTTATATATTAATACAATTTAAGTAACTACTTCGATGAATTTGTTGTTCATCTTGTTGTGCTAATGAGGTATGTAAACTTGGACCGATGTACTCATGTAACTGATCGTAAGTTGTAGCTGACTGAATGAAGATCAGTGGATCTGTGTTGGACATATGTCCTAGGAAATGAAATCTTATTGTTTAAAGCTATTTAGCGGTTGTGTAGTTTGTCGCTCATCTTTCCTGTGGGGTCGTTTTCAGAAGATGGTTTCCGGAATTTATAATGCTCACTAAGTAATGTATTCAACTTTTCTATATAGACTAGTTGATTGACGAGGAGTAGGGATCCCATGTTTTTGATAATGGTTGAGTTTCCACTTTTTTAGTTTAAGGTTCTTTGTGTTTTTGTTTTTAAAAACCTACAAAAGTCGACTTAATCCTTTATTGACCCTCTTAGTCGGTGTGGTCGACCAAAAAAACGATATTTGACTAACGTTAATGTTATATGAATTTGCAATTGTGGACAATAAATACATTCGATTGTTGTAACAGAGCATTGATTAGGATAATGATTGAAGTATCAACTGAGATTTTAGTAATAGTTTGTGTGACGGCGACTAGAGATTGAGAACAAAAGTACGCAAGGCAGCACGTGTATCAAGTGATCATTAATCGGTATATTATTCAGATGATGACGTTCTACATAATACCCGGAACAATATTTTTTATTGAATAACCATCATTGTACAATTAAAGCTAAATCATGAGAGATTTGGTCTACATTAACAGTTTTTACATAGTTTTCTCTTTGAGTTTCCGGATGGAACACTGATACAAACGTAAGTGGAAAAATACAAAATAAAACTCAAATATCGTAGTGCTCTTCTGTGAGAAAATATTGTGTAAATATGTGGTTTTGGTGTGTGCGTACTATTCTAATGCACAGAATTATTGTGCATGTTGAGTATGGAGAAAGGAGAAAATTCAAATAATAATAATAATAATAATAATAATAATAATAATAATAATAATAATAATAATAATAATAATAATAAACTCTAGTCATACATGCGAAAAATCGATGAAAAATAACCAGAACTACGGACATGTTTAGCTGAGATGTATGTATTTGAATTTAAATGATGGATAGCTAACCAAACAGAATATAATTAATTCTATGACAATTGCGTATGGATAAAAGATTTGTTAGTCAGTGCAAAGAGAAAAACGTTTAACGAATTTTACAAAATTATTCAGCAAAATAAGTACAACATTTAGGTCTGTTTATTACTCCACCAAAAGGCGTTACACATTTAGGGTTTAGGGTTGGATTGTTGTTGGTTCCTGGCGTAAAGGTCCCCTAACTGAACCTTCATCCATCTAACTAACACTATTCTATCATAAAATTCAATAATTAAGGGGTATTACTTGTAAATGAGTCACATCAAAATCAACACTCGACAAATTATGAATAGTAAGAACTTAGACTTGTCGGGAGTTAAGGTCTTGGAGTCCCGTATTAAAGCTCTGAACCAACTAGATACGATCTTTGTCTTTGCTGACGTTCATTGCTTGGATCATTTATTCTGAAAATTTTTGCTTCTAGTATTTAGGGAGTTTCTCAACTGCTTAGGATCTCTCAGCAATATTGTTCGTCAATTTAATAATATACAATTTGATTGAGTCCCTCTGTTTCAAAACTTAAATTTTTAATGTTTCTCCGTTTTGTCGAATTCTGTGTCGATATATTGCTTTTCACCATGTTCTCGGACATCGATTCTTTCCTATACTTACTAACGCCTGTTACTCCACGTGAAGGAGCATAGGCCGCTCACCAGCATTCTCCATCCAACCCTGTCCTGGTCAATCCTTTCCAGCTCCTTCCAGTTGTTATTCATCCTTTTCATATCTGCTTCTATTTCCCGACGTAATGTGTTCTTTGGCCCTCCTCTTTTCCGCCTTCCTTCAGAATTTCAAGTTAGGGCTTGTCTCGTGAAGCAGTTTGACGATTTGCGTAATGTATGTCCTATCCATTTCCATCGTCTTTTCCTAATTTCTTATTCAGCTGGAAGCTGATTTGTTCTCTCCCACAAAAGGCTGTTGCTGATAGTATCCGGCCAATGGATGTTGAGTATCTTGCGTAGACAGCTATTTATAAATACTTGTACCTTCTTGATGGTGGTTGTTGTAGTTCTCCAAGTTTCATCTACGTACAGCAAGACTGCCTTAACGTTGGTATTGAAGATTCTCACTTTGATATTGGTTGAAAGTTGTTTTGAGTTTCATATGTTCTTCAATTGTAGGAATGCTGTTCTCCGTGTTGTACTTGAGGATGTTGGTTTTCCCTTTGTGTATGCTGAGACCTACTGATGCAGAGACTGCTGCCACACTGGCTGTCTTTATCTGCATCTGTTCGTGTGTATGCGATAGGAGGGCTAGGTCATCTGCGAAGTCCAAATCGTCTAATTGATTCTGAGCTGTCCATTTTATTCCGCGTTTTCCCTCAGATGTCGAGGTCTTCACAATCCAGTCGACCACCAGAAGAAAAAGGAAGGGAGAGAGTAAACAGCCTTGTCTGACTCCGGTCCTTACTTGGAATGCATCTGTCAGCTGTCCTCCATGCACGACTTTGCATTGTAGTCCGTCGTATGAGTTCCGGATAATATTGGCAATCTTCTCAGGAACTCCGTAGTGTCGTAGAAGTTTCCATAACGTCCTCCTATCCAAACTGTCAAATGCCTTTTCATAAGCGATGAAGTTGATGTATAGTGATGAGTTCCACTCAACTGATTGTTCAACGATGATTCGTAGTGTTGCAATCGATCCTTACGAAATCTAGCTTGTTGATCTCGAAGTTGGGCGTCTACTGCATCTTTCATCCGGTTCAGCAACACTATGTCGAAGACCTTCCCTGGTATTAACAGCAGTGTAATGCCTCTATAGTTCTCACATTTGCTCAGCTCTCCTTTCTTTGGAATCTTGACGAGGTGCCTTTCTTTCCAGTACATCGGCACTTGTTCCTCCTCCCAAATCTTTTTGAATAGAAGTTGAAGCATGTTTGTAGTTACTTCGATGTCTGACTTCAGTGCTTCAGCTGGTATGTTGTCCGGACCCGCTGCTTTCCCGTTTTTGATTTGTCTGACGGCCATTCTGATTTCTTCCGTCGTTGGTGGGTTGACGTCTATGGGAAGATCTGTGTGTGCAGCTTCGATGTCCGGTGGATTCATTGGAGCCGGCCTATTCAGGAGTTCCTCGAAGTATTCTACCCATCTGTTCCGTTGTTGTTGAATTTCGGTGATTGGATTGCCTTATTTGTCTTTGACCGGCCTCTCTGGTTTACTGTATTTCCCTGATAGTTTCTTCGTTGTATCGTGAAGCTGTTTCATATTTCCTTCTCTAGCAGCTTTTTCCGCCGTCGTTGCTAGTTCTTCCGCGTATTTCTTCTTGTCGGTTCTAATGCTCCTCTTCACTTGTTTGTTTGCTTCTATGTATTCAGCTTGTGCTTGGACGTTCTCTGCTCGTGTTCGGCTGTTGTTTATTGCTGCCTTGTTGTTCTTCCTTTCTTTGATCTTGTCCAGTGTTTCTGTAGAGATCCATTCCTTATGATTGTATTTCTTTAGACCCAGAACCTCTTGACACGTTGAAGTTAATGCTTCATTGATGCCTTTCCAGTTGTCCTCCATACTAGTTTCTTCTTCCTTCAGTAGATCTTGTAAGGCTTGGAACCTGTTGTTGAGAGCTATCTTGAATTCATTGAGTTTGTCAGTATCTCGAAGGAAGGCTGTATTGAACCTTTGTAGTGCTGTTTGTCCACTTGTCCGGTTCTTTTTTAGCTTCAGTTTTAAATTGGCCACAACTAGGTGGTGATCTGAAGCTACGTCAGCGCCTCTCCTGGTTCTCACATCTTCCATTGTCCTTCGGAATTTTTTGTTGATGCAAATATGATCTATCTGGTTCTCTGTAGTGTGGTCCGGTGAGATCCATGTAGCCTTGTGTATACGCTTGTGTGGAAATATTGTGCCTCCTATGACCAATTTGTTGAATGCACATAGATTTGCAAATCTTTCTCCATTTCCGCTTCTTTCTCCCAGTCTACGTCGTCCCATAATATCTTCATATCCAGTGTTGTCTATTCCGACTTTGGCATTTAGATCTCCCATCAGAATAGTTAGGTCCTTTCTTGGGCATTTCTCAATGACTGACTGCAGCCGCTCGTAGAATTGATCTTTAATGTCGTCGTTGCTATCATTGGTGGGTGCATAACATTGGATAATATTCATTAAGATCCCCTCCTTCTTTGTTTTGAATGATGCTTTGATGATTCTGGATCCGTGAGATTCCCATCCTACAAGTGCATTTCGTGCTACTTTGGACAGCATAAGAGCGACTCCCTGAGTGTGTGGAGCATTGTCCTCTTCGTGACCGGAGTATAGCAGCATCTCTCCCGTAGCTAGCCTTTTCTGTCCACCTTAGGTCCAGTGGGTTTCGCTGATTCCCAGTACTGCTAAGTTGTATCTCCTCATTTCCATTGCTATTTGACTGGTCTTTCCGGTCTCCCACATTGTTCGAACGTTCCATGTACCTATAAAAATTTTTGCTCTTGTTGTTAGAAGGGGCATCGGCCTCGTGGCTTCCGAAGGAACTCGGCTTTCACCATGAAGCGTCATAATCCTTCTAAATGAAGACCTTCTAACTCCCAGGGCAGAGTTAAAATGGTTTGGATTATTTTTTCTGGTAAGCGTTTTTTTAGCGAGTTAGTTTTCTACGGGATGGGGACCCTGACCCCATGCCCAACCCTCCTCCTTTACCCGGGCTTGGGACCGGCAGTAACTCTATAAGAGCTACAGGCGGAGTTGATTCTTTCCTATATATCTCTAAAATTTCTAAACATCTTCGCTCAACTGAGTTTTGTGCTATATATCAAATATTCCTATCAAGATATACTTGTTTGTAAAACTTATACATCAGTTTCGAGCTGTAACGGGGAACTAACTCAAAAAAAAACATTTCTTCACCCGACTTGTATAAAAATAATGATTTTATTGAGATCTGATGTAGTAATCTAGTTTGGGATGAAGTAATTGTTCTTTTTCCTGTCCTTGTTCTCCTTTTTAGATTAAATCATGTAAATCTGTATGGTTTTCGCATCCCATTTCTATCATCTTTATTCAGTGCGTTTTAGTGATATTTTAGTAGTTATTTTCCATTGTGTTTCACATATCATTCATTTACTGAAATCATACAACTTTCAAGACCATCGTTTTTTTGATAAGGCTAAGGCTTTACTCAGAAGAATTAATTTTTAAAATACTTTTTAGATTATATATCGTTTTGTGCGGAATACCTATAAATTGGCAATGACCGTACTGGGTCTAGATAAAATTCTTTTAAGGAGTTTTGCTCCATGGGAACCTTTCTTTTTGAAAGATACTAAAGTTGTTGTGGACGCTGACGATTTAGTTGGTTTTCTACATGATAAATTTTCTACAGGACTGTATGGTGGTGAAAATCTTTCTTTTTACATGGTGGTACGTTCGTTCTTTTTGAATTTGCAATGTTCGAATGTGGAGCCGTACTTCATTTTAAGGGGTTGCTGTGACATGAAAGTAAGGGCTTTTTAACAAAAATTAACATAACTCCTAATCCTTACTTACACGTTGCAAATTGCTTTTATTTATACTGTGAACTTGTATCGTTCTCCAGAATCCTGGATAAACATCTCAAGATTAATACACTTAATTGTTTAATTTGTGTAGTGTTCCCATACTGAAGTACCTGACAAGTTTGTTTTATTAAAACACATCAGCTGTGCCTTTCCTAAATCACAATTAGGAATTTCAAGCTATCTTAGTCAATCCTCATGTAACTTCTTCGAAACACCAGTCCGAAGAAATATTTTTAAAATATTCACTTATGTATATCGTCAGCAATTTAACTGGTATTAACGTCAGATACTTTTATGTAGCCTAAGAATGAGTAATCCGATTTGTTAGAAATCATCCAAACCATAAGTTCAGGATTGTATAGAAACAGTGGTGTGAATTTTTTTTATCATAAGCATAATTTCATAGTCATTTAATTTTAGAGATCTCTTTAGAATACAATAGTAGTGGACTGTATATTTCTTCAAGTTCTCAATGTTTTAAGTGTAAGCAATTAAAAGGGAACAAGTAAGTTTAAGTGATTTAAAGAGAAAAAGTTCATTAGGCTGTAGCATTTCCAGGGTCACACGACCTTTCTTGTTTAAGTTCTTTGTTAGTGATCCGTCTATTATTTCTAACTAGTACATTTATAAATGGTGTTCTGCCACCACGTGAACTTAATGGCCTGACGAAATTGATAGAATTACTTAATCTCTAGCTGACGAGTATTTTCTTTAGAAAGGATGAGTGTGTCATTTATATATTGAGATTAAAATGAAGACTTTTTATTCAACTGTGCACGTGGCCTGTTTTCTGGTTTATCTAAAAAGATATCCGTTAGCATGAGACCCTACACTAAACCCATTTCTACTCCATTCAATTGTTTGTATATTCCTCCGGTAAACATGAAGTTCACATTCTTGGTTCATTTTAGCACATTTATTTAGGTTCCAATGTGTATTTCAGTCTCTCCAATTTGGCTTGATATATAAAAAAAACTGTCCATAGTTGGAACATTTGTGTATAATGAATTCACATTTAAAGATAGCATGGTATGTCTTCTCATTGGGAGCTCGTTATATTCCGAAATACGGTGTATAAGGAAGGAAACTAATCTTAATTTCGCATATCGATGTAAGGTAATTTTTATTAAGTCAATTTCAATGCATTCTCGTTGAACTAGAATAAATTCTATTCATTAACTTTCAATGTATTTCCAATTGTAATCAGTTATTTGACTCTCAATCAATTTTCTATGTATTGGTTATCTTATAATAATTTTGTGCTTAGTGATAATTACTTGGTTGGTAAAATTCTGAAATTAATGGTCATTGGTTTGATATATAACTAAATTAACTTGATTGAGATCATGAACCAATTGATGTTAGACCAACACAATTGAACGGCCGTCCAGTGCTTCCAGGTTTTCAATTGTGTTGGTCTAACCTCAATCGGTTCATGATCTCAATCAAAAACTTAATAATCTCCACAACTCCTATACTAGTAAATTAACTTGATTGTAAATCAGTCTTCTTTAGTCTCTTTCGATGAATTTTTCTTATCAAAATTTTTCTTTTGGAATAGCTGTTGCATAATATGTCGAAATTATCACTGCTCTCATTTCATAACAATACCATACAATTCACTCTCCTCCGTCCTCTTTTTTCTTGGTTTATCTGCAAATTAGCGCGTTAAATGTATTTCGTTCCCAATATATTTCTTGTTAGACTTCTAATATTGCTTTGTTGTCTTAGTTACCACACAACTGTCTAGTCTAAGTATAATACGCTAAATTAATTCTGGAAGTATAATCACTACGGTCATTTGCATTTATAATACCTATGCAACATTTGTTTAGCTTGGATTCATGTTAGTAAGAAGAGAATAAAAACACGGATTCTTCTAAATTACTAAACGTTTCAATGAGTAATGAACCCTATGGTTGATATACAAATGGTCTCCAGTTGTGCATGATTATCGTTAAGGATGAATAACTCGATGTGTCAGTGCTCTAACCATACAACAATGCAGCACAGATATATAGGTTAACGTTGTCATTTTTCGTAAAACTTCAGGGAAAAATTGATCAGAGTAATCACACTTTCAGTGGGTCATCATCAACGCAGTACCTTAGATATCAAAGAAATAAAATTGTTATGAATAAAAGATAAACTAAATTGCAAGGTACCTAAACTCACTATATATAGAAGTAAACAAAACGAGTATTTCTCAAAAGTATGAGAATAAAAATGTGTTTGTGTGTCATAAAGCCTGTCATCATTTATCAGAAGCATCTATCATCAGGATATACATCAAACAAATCAAGAGTGGGAAAGCAGAAAGATCAGATGACATACCACCTAAAGCATTGAAGTCAGACAGGGGTAACTGCAAGCATGCTTCACGTTCTATTCAAGAAGATTTGGGAAGAATAAGTGCCGACGGACTGGACAGAAGAATGCCAGATATATCAAGATATCAACGGGAGGTGATCACAGAAAGTGTGAGAAATACAGAGGCGTCACACCACTATTGGTATCAGGAAAAGTTCCCAACAGTGTTGTTGAATCGAATTAAAGATTTAGAAGACTCTCAACATCGTGATCGGCAGGCTGGATTCCGTAAGGATTGGTTGTGCACAGACCGAATCACGACACTACGGATCATCGTTGAACAATCAATTGAATGGAACTCGTCACTATAAATCGGCTTCCTTGACTACGAGAAAGCGTTTGACAGTGTGTATAGGAGAACTTTATGGACCCTTATTAAACACTGGTGTATTTGAGAAGATCGTAGATATCATACGGAATTCGTACGACAGACTACGCTGTGGAGTCGTGCATGGAGGACAGCTGACAGATGCATTGCAAGTGAGGACCGAAATCAGACAAGGCTGTCTACACTCTCCCTTTCTCTTTCTTCTAATGGTTGACTGTATTATGAAGACCTTTCATATTTCAGGTGAAGCACGGATTAAAATGGACAGGTCGGATGCAACCAAACGACTTGGACTTCGCAGACGACCTGAGTCTTCTATCCCATACATTTGAATAAATGCAGGTAAAAACAACTTCTGTAGCAGCAGCCTCTGCAGCAGTAGGCCTCAGCATACACAAGGGAAATGCAAGATCCTCAAATACGACATTGAGAACACTAACCCAATCATACTTGATGGGGAAGCTCTGGAAGAGGTGGAAACTTTCACGTATCTAGGTTGCATCGTTCATAATCTAGGAGGATCTGATGCGAATGTGAATGCAGGGATCGGCAAAGCAAGGGAAGTATCCTTACAATCAAAGGACATGTGCAACTCAAACAGTTGTCAGTCAATACCGAAGTCTTACTTTTCAACACAAACGTCAAGACAATTCTATCATACGGAGCTGAAACTTGGATAACTACTACACCCATTATCAATAGAGTATTTGTAAACACTTGTCTACTCTAGATACTCACTGTCCGTTTGTCGTATGTCATCAGCAACAAGTTACTGTGGGAGATAACAAACTTAACTAAAGAGGAGATTAGGAGAAGACGCTGAAGGCGGAATGGCTGGGTTGTAATAAGAGAACATTAGAACAGTGGCGACGACAAAAAAAGGAAAACAAATTCAAGGTGCCCATATCAGGTGACCAGCTCAACAGTATCCCATCCCCGTCGCCACCGTTATAATTTTCTCTTATTACAACCCAGCTATTCCCATTGCTTAGTACTCTCGGACACCAATTCATTAGACAAGTCCCCAAATCAGAACACGGTTGAACAGGAAACAGATTATATTCCAAATAACAAGGTTAGATGGAAGTAAGAGGCACAGTAGGAAAAACGTTAGTATATTTATAGTTTTTACATGAGAAGATTCTAGAGTGTTCTCCAAGAATCTGCCAGCACTGATTGGACAAGTGTCAGCCAATAAGCGTGTGCCAAAGCACTCGTACATTGAGCATGCTTTGATCCAATGTCCAGCTAACAATAGTACATATTTTGCGGAAATCATCAAACTACATCACGATGCAATCCCTGACTCAAAACAGTGAAGGGAAAAGGAAAAAAAGACCAGAGGACAGATTGTGTTGGAAATTGGAGGAAGACATGAAGATAATGAATAGAAACTGGAAACAACTAGAGAGGAAAGTTCAAGACAGAGTTGGATGTAGAATGCTGGATGGTGGCTTACGCTACTTCATCAGGGTTATCAGGAGTTAGTAAGTAAGTACCTAGAATGAATATAACGAAGCCACTAAAAGCATCTAAGAATCTGTTATGCAGAATGGGAAACAGAACTAACTATCTAGAAGATTCAGGTAGTTTGGTGTAACTCATTTTATTCACAATCTTTTGGTTTTATAATTGATGATACAATGTCACTTCCTAAATTGGGTCGAGCAGATTCAAACTTGTTTTGTAATGTTTTCTTAGTCTGTAATTTTTTGAAATCTTTTGCTAAATCTTGCCATTTTAAAAAGACCCCTTACCTGTCCATAAGTCATTGACTTTTAGTTCGTAATTGACAATGCATATCAGGGGGCTATGATTATTGTGGATTGTAGGCTGTAGTGAGAAGCAGGTGATAATCTTAAAACTTATATTAATAAAAATAATAACGATAATTATACTCGTAGCAATAATAATGGTAATTAATCAAAAGTACTTTATCGATGGGGTTTGTGGAGTTATACCATGTTGTAAACGAGACATTAATTGACCAAAAGTATTGGATTATAGTTGGATTATGACGCAAAGTGATTAAAGTTAGGAATCTGAATTTATTCTATTGTAATTATGTGGTCTAAAGATATTCTAACTTCTATCAAGTATTCGGCTCTATGCTTCTTTAGATCGTAGATAAAATAGCTGGTCAGTGCTTCATCATTTTCAATAGTTTTCCAGCTTATATCAGTTCGTTAAAAAAAGTCAATTTCAGGATAAATCTCCATTCAAACACTTAATTAGTACGGAAAAAATGCTCGTCATTAGAAGGTAAATTGAAGTATCTTATGTCATTACTAAACTAATGCTTATGATTAATGTTGTGTGGAATGAAGTTATTTCAAAGACTTCCTATATTGTATGGCGGGGAAATTAATTTTTTAACAAGAAATTGTTGAAAGTTTCATTTCCTTAGTCACAATAAATCAATCCAAACTGTGTTTTCTTATTGATTAAGCATACTTACTCTCTTATCATACTACATAACGTTTAACTGACAACGGTAAAAAGGTCTTTTCAATGAAAATGAAATGTTTTAAAAAGATTACTATTACTAATAAAAATGAAACGAAATTCTTGTTATTGTTAATCATATAAATAATTCTATTTGTTATTCATTTCTTATTAACAGAATAAAAAATTAAAGCATAAACAGAAGAAAGAATTTAACGTGTTATCACAACTTATCACAGCTGTAAAATTAAATGCATTTGATAAAATCCCCAAAGTACTCAATTTATCAGCTAGGGATGTATTTTTGTATGCCTTAAATGAATTCCCATGGAAGTGTATTAGAGTTAAATCTTTTCCTACAACTGTTTGTACCGCTATTGCTATAATTTTACAATGTCCAGTTATTGGTTTATCATCTGATTATTATATACTTATGTCAAAGAGACAAAATATTCTTAATAATTTAATTTCTCAACCATATTCAAGTCCGACATTTCTCACACTTCATTTGGCCAATCTAAATTTGAGTGGTTCTAGTAAAAGTATTGGTGAAAAAGAAATGTTGTTTCACAAATTTATTCCTAAACTTTCAATTTTAGCGAGATCTTCAGATTTTCACTTACCTCTTTTAGCTGTATTAGTTGGTACAGATGTTGTGCCTAATGTAAGACTTCCATTAGAATTACAAGAAAAATTACAAACAAACAATTCGGCAATAAATTACGCACAACATCGATTATCTGTACTCCTTGAATGGTTTTCACAGTTCGATTCAAATTCAATTAAACCATTAGAAGATGTTATCAACTGTTATCCAATTGAACAGCGCACTTCTATAATAAACGATATGATACACGGCATTTCTCGTTTTGTTTGCCCTGTAGAAGAAACTAAAAATGTTCTGAGTCTATTGAGTGATAAAAGTTACTTTAATGATACTTCAACGAATACATTTACAACTGTTAAATCAGCATTCAGATCTAGTGGAAGTGTTGAGGATGTGATTAATTCACTAGAAGGTACCATTGTAGCATACTTATGGCATGAAGACTACACAAATGGGTGGCCTCCTCGTCTTCTTTATAATTTCAGGAAGGGAATATTATTTTCAAAACCATCTATTTATTCATCTCGAGGTGTTTTTCTTCCCACCGTAGTTGAAGATCCAAAATGCCCATTCTCAGTGCATGAAACGTCATTCTTAATTCGAAGACTACACTATCAAATCCATGTGTCATTGGAACGCAGTTTAAGTATGGAAAATAAACTTGTTGGATTAAATCCTGATGCTATTGAATATATGAGACAAAATGATAAATTAGTGATGTATCGAATCCCAGTCAAATATATTCCTTTAGATTTCAGCAAAGTTAGCACAGATGAAGTTATTAAAGATAATCTGGGTTTCGTCAAACTACCGGAAAACAATTTAATCCCTAAGTTACTTTACAGTTTAGCAGTAGTTTTATCATTTTGGTTTCAACAATTAAAGTATACCTCTATTGAGATCCCTTCTGCGTTTAGTGAGTCGTCTGTTGGACTTGCTGTGGCTTCTTGTGCTGTCGCAAATATATACAACGATAGTTCTTCTATTAGTGAATTATGTGAATTTTATAATAATCTAAGCAGAATTCCTGATCAGTTGTCGATTTCAGGTAGTAATTCTACTAGTTTCAGAATTGATATTGTACACAGCTTTAATGCTATACAGTCAACTTTCAACAGTTTTAAAGATTTGGTTAAAACTCTCAACTGTCTTGTGCCAGAGAATAAACAGTCAAATTACTTCACTTTTGCACAGTCTTGGATACTGTTTCCTTCTGGAAAGCTGGTACATTTTTTAGCTACTCAGTTAGCTTCTTTAGAGCCCTGTGGTAGACGTTATTCAGTCATAAGAGTATGGCTTCCGAAACTTCTCTTTATTAAAGAAAGAAATCCCGACGCAACATCTAGGCTGACCAAAGCGATAAATACTTTGATCACTTTTATTGATCTTTGTGATATGATTAAAATTAGTCTTCCATCATCTTTAGATTCATTTTATAGCATTCATGAATTAGAAAGCAATTATGTCCGTGAAACGATGCATACGGTTCCTAACCTATGTGATCGAAACAATACGAATCTAGTTCATAAACCAAGTAATTCAGCATTTAATATAATATTTCCTCGCGGCTTTCGAGAAAGAAGAGAAAACAGAACGAGTAACAAAAGGATTTATAATAAACCTTCAGCTGAAAATATTGTGCATAGTGCTCAAGTACGTTGTCTTTTCCAAAGTAATTTCCATTCAACCTATGGAAAAACCTAGAACAGTGACTTACAAATCATCTAGAAACATAAGCTGTTAAGAATATTTTAGAAATTCTAATCCTGTTCACATGTAACAAGTTGTAGTACACTGATTTTTAATTAAGTAAATACATTCTTTTTTGTGTTTGGATCATTAACAGATGTATCCATATTATCGAAGGAAAGAATATCTCTATTTTTTTTACCTCATACTTTTCTAGTCTTCATTTATTATGTATTCATGAGTCCATTTGACCGCTATACCGGTTGCTCTTTTTATATTTAATTTCATATATATCAGATATGATTTTTTTTTCAAAAGATACTATTTCCTATCTTTACTTGACTTTTCAGTCTGTTGATTTCAAGCAGTTTGGCATTTAGTACAAATATATATGGATCAGAGTCGCCGGACCTCAAATTAACAAGATAAGGAACAGTAGAGTAGAAGTAATAATATCTATTTTATTAGAAATCTAAATATGAAAATATAAAAATAGGGAGGAACGTGCCTAAATATGAAAAGTAATGGAATGACACTAGACTAAAAACTTATGAGATAAAGAATGAATGCGACTGTGTTACTACGGTCAGTTTCCTTATCGTGACTCCGTTACCTGGCTTCGATTTGATCATATTGTATAATTACAACGAAATAGATATCCCACCAACCCTTTTTTAATTCGCGTTAGTGAGTAACGGAAGAAGCAAAAAAAAGAATGGCTTTTGGTATGTACATTTCATGCACTATTTACCGCAGATAGACAACGGGGGAAACGAAACGTAGAAGGCAAGGATCTCAACTCGATTTGATAAGGCAACATTCACCGTTTGCAGTCAGACAGAAAAAATAAGCTAAAAATGGGTTGTGAGCAGACTAAGTGGTAAACACAAAGTACGCTCATATAAGGACAGTCGACGTTATGAGCGAATAACTGACAAGGTCGAAATCTATGTAGATAATGACTCAAAACGAATGAATTATTTGGTCTGTTCAAAAGCCAGAATAGCACATGTAGGCATGTCACAGTACTAAACGAAACGATATATGCGCCCATGTTACCCAACACGTAAAATTGTAATTTACAGTTATAGCATAGCCCCCCACATATGTGGCTCAGGATAGTAGCCTATAAGTTCGTGGACTGACTGCTCAGATACTATTTCGAAATAATTCCTTTGGCTTCTCATATTAATTATCCTGATTCCGTTATAAAATAGATACTTACGCCTGTTACTCCACGTGAAGGAGCATAGGCCGCTCACCAGCATTCTCCATCCAACCCTGTCCTGGTCAATCCTTTCCAGCTCCTTCCAGTTGTTATTCATCCTTTTCATATCTGCTTCTATTTCCCGACGTAATGTGTTCTTTGGCCCTCCTCTTTTCCGCCTTCCTTCAGAATTTCAAGTTAGGGCTTGTCTCGTGAAGCAGTTTGACGATTTGCGTAATGTATGTCCTATCCATTTCCATCATCTTTTCCTAATTTCTTATCCAGCTGGAAGCTGATTTGTTCTCTCCCACAAAAGGCTGTTGCTGATAGTATCCGGCCAATGGATGTTGAGTATCTTGCGTAGACAGCTATTTATAAATACTTTTACCTTCTTGATGGTGGTTGTTGTAGTTCTCCAAGTTTCATCTACGTACAGCAAGACTGCCTTGACGTTGGTATTGAAGATTCTCACTTTGATATTGGTTGAAAGTTGTTTTGAGTTTCATATGTTCTTCAATTGTAGGAATGCTGTTCTCCGTGTTGTACTTGAGGATGTTGGTTTTCCCTTTGTGTATGCTGAGACCTACTGATGCAGAGACTGCTGCTACACTAGCTGTCTTTATCTGCATCTGTTCGTGTGTATGCGATAGGAGGGCTAGGTCATCTGCAAAGTCCAAATCGTCTAATTGATTCTGAGCTGTCCATTTTATTCCGCGTTTTCCCTCAGATGTCGAGGTCTTCACAATCCAGTCGACCACCAGAAGAAAAAGGAAGGGAGAGAGTAAACAGCCTTGTCTGACTCCGGTCCTTACTTGGAATGCATCTGTCAGCTGTCCTCCATGCACGACTTTGCACTGTAATCCGTCGTATGAGTTCCGGATAATATTGGCAATCTTCTCAGGAACTCCGTAGTGTCGTAGAAGTTTCCATAACGTCCTCCTATCCAAACTGTCAAATGCCTTTTCATAATCAATGAAGTTGATGTATAGTGATGAGTTCCACTCAACTGATTGTTCAACGATGATTCGTAGTGTTGCAATCGATCCTTACGAAATCTAGCTTGTTGATCTCGAAGTTGGGCGTCTACTGCATCTTTCATCCGGTTCAGCAACACTCTGTCGAAGACCTTCCCTGGTATTAACAGCAGTGTAATGCCTCTATAGTTCTCACATTTGCTCAGATCTCCTTTCTTTGGAATCTTGACGAGGTGCCCTTCTTTCCAGTCCATCGGCACTTGTTCCTCCTCCCAAATCTTTTTGAATAGAAGGTAAAGCATGTTTGTAGTTACTTCGATGTCCGACTTCATTGCTCCAGCTGGTATATTGTCGAAAAATAGATACTAATTATGTGTGAATTTTAGAAGACAATATGAAGCATCGACTACAGTTTATAATTGAACAGCGTAGATCACTAAGCCACAAGCAAAAAACGTATTCGAGCAGTGATTTAGGCAACTAACATTTAAGTTAGAAAGAGGGATATGTGCGTAGTCTGTCATATGTGATCAAGCATATATTTTCATACAGACATGATAATAATAATAACAATACCAACATATCAAGTTGTTACTGTTTTTATTAACAGTCTTCCAAATAAGTTAACTGAATGGCTTGACAAAATTAAACAAATTTAAGTATGACAGTGGTGCTATAAGGATATTATAGTTCCAAGACTAACTTATTTGTAACTACTACATGTTCAAACGAAGCATTCTATGCTTCTGAGTCGTAAAAATCTTTTCTCAAGTGAGTACTTTGGAAATATCATTGGTGGAAGGTTGACTTGTGTACCAATGTACCCTGGCTCAATGGTCTCTAGGTTGCGCGTTCGCATACGAGACCGTAGGACCTCGGTGCGATTTCTGGTTTCTTGGAACTGGATGTCTATTACTTATTATCCCGTACCCAAACAAGACGATGCTCTATCACCCTCTGGTTTTCAACGACCTTTTAACATATACTTCGGTTCGTGATCTTGGTAGTACTGTTTCCAATTAGATCTCTGTCAGGCTTTAATGTACTTTTGATAGTCTATAAGTTAATGATAAGAACAAAATGAATATATTACCACCTTTTACCTAACCACTGTTATGAATCCGGTGTTCATCCTGTTGTGTTGATGCGGTATGGCAACCTGGACCGATGCACATATGTGCCTGGTCCTACGTTGTAGCTGACTGACTGACTGAGATTGATAGTGTAATGACAGATGTATCTAGTATACTTATTATCTAAATATCAGTTTTAAATTTTTACTTTGTTTAGTCACATACTCTATTTTGCTGTTATCGCAGATTCATAAACTACCTTCACTTGTATAGTGTTTTCATATAAATATTACTGTATATTGTAGTAAAACCTATTAACGATCTAATTGAAAACAGTACTGTTCCCTTAAATATAATACTCTAATTTATACTATGGGACTTTTTAAATATCTTCTTCTTCATGTAAAACTTTCTATAAGTATTTAATGTTAACAAGCATTACATTTTATGGATTATATACAGCTACTTAACAGTTGTATCCTTATTTTGCGAGAAAATTTAGTGCTCGTTTTTTCGGAGTCATTCTAGTATGTGACCGAATTAGTAATTTAAAAGAACTATTCCTTTTTCAAGTGTATAATTTAAAATGCGACAGGAAAAAGTAAAGAGACACAAAAATGAATGCAACTGTAGGGACGAGATGCACTCCTTTTATGTTTAAATCTATATCTATTCGGATTTGATGAGACATTTTTGAACAGAACTTACCATCTGTTAATTAACACATTCAGTACTTTAAGGTCAATCTTATTATAATCAGAAAATATTGAACACTAAATTACTTGCTTGACTCTATAACTAACAACTTTCAAATTTTATTTGGGTATCTTGAATCATGTTCAGTTGGTTCCTCAGCAGTTTTACTTGTTACACTGATAGAATTAATATACTTGCTGAAGCTGACCTAGGTATATTACTATATGAACCAAAGCATTGTTTATTGACACCATTACAAGAAGCATGGCAAACCTAGCTTGCGAACTTTACTTTCTCTCAACAAGCAGGTGATATTGTTAGAAATGTTTGGGATAATTTGACCAAAGAAGTAGAGCTATCATACCACTTATATTTTGTCTGCTTCTAAACATACTCTTGATTACTAATTCATTGTCACATTGTTGAATGGTTTGGAATGAGGATAGTTGTGACCGCGAAGCAATCTGTATTCAAATTTAAGAATCATTTGATGACTGTAAATCACGAGCAACATTAAGGCATTTAAACTGGATTTGAATAAACGATACTCGGTAAAAATGGTTTGTGTGCAGACTAGTTTACCATCATTATTACGTTGTTTGAATCGTTTAAGCCAACTGCAACGAATACTGGAAAGTGACGACTTAAGAAATATTATTTTGCTTTTTATTTTTTGGTGAAGCAAATAAGGTTTCTTAAACATATTAAATGCTATAAATCTGTTAAATATCTTCCTCTTATGTAGGGCATAGATAATTGATGCATATAATATTTACTTATTTGCTCATCGCTGCTCAGTTTCCATATAGACTAATTAACAGTTATCATCAAGTTCTTGACACTAATTTATTCAGATGACAGCAACATACGTCGATACGTAGTAGAGAATAACCATCTAGAAGTATTTTAAGTTGATCTCAGCACTCAAGCATCTAGTCTCGGTTAGCAACAACACTTAACAATGAAGCTAAGTATCACCATGCCCAGCGAGCATAAAAATAGAAACAATTATCTATCTGGAGAGACATCTCAACCGTCGGTTCTTACGCATAAATACTTAAAAGCCTTAGTAAGTCATGATTTGAAAACCGATACGTAATGTTTGTTTGCGATTACAGATTTTAGAACAGTTTTGGCGTCAAGAAGAACGCTTTAGTAGGTTGAATAACAAGATGCTTATCAAGCTTTATCAGACACTGGTAAGATCACAAGACCTTACGGTAAGTAATGGGCAGGCAGATGAGGGTAATTGTAAGTAGGTCATACACTTCACCAAATCTACCACCTGCGATATCGGTTAATTTAACTACTTGTAACAAAGTAGTATGATGGGGATCATTAAACGAACAAAGTAATAATTTTAAAGAGAGCAAGAACAAAGATGAG